TTGTTTGTTTTGTTTTTTTTCCAACTGAAACAACTTCAGTAAGTTTGAAGTGATTTTTGTACATGTTTCATTGACCTGCATATGCATTTTTTAGCAACACCACCACCAAAAGGAAACATTTTTTGCCGCAAACTTTTCACTGCATTAATAATGTACATCTGGCCCCTGGTGCTTCTTGCCTCTTGTTGTGACTATATTCAAATAACCAGCTGTGTATCATTCTGAAAATACCTCTTGCCTACCATTAGTGATTGCAGCATTTTAAATTAGTAGCTTCTGCTTAACTAACTTTCCCGTACGTCTTTGTAGTCAATCTTTCTCTCCAGGGGCCCAGTATGCATTTCAGAGGGAGGAAGTATCAGGCATGGGTTAAAGTGAAGGAGAGAGTCTTTAGGTGAGAGGGATTTACCTTGTGTATAGAAGGGAAGTGAATGAGTCCCAGTTGGTTGTCAACAGAAGATGTGATGCAGAGAGCCCAACTGCTGAAAGAAAGAAGAAAAGGAGTTAGAAAATGGGTGTGAGATCCAATAGTGAGGGGCCATACTGAGTTGAAAAGCAGGAGGTTATATATCAGTCAGAATTGTAGCTGGGTAGAGAATCAGAAACTATAAGGAGAAATAAGGTGTCATTTCCTGGAATTTGGCCACAACATTGTAGATTCTTATTGTTTTGAGTGTATGGAGGGGGAGAAGAATTTAAGTATAAGCTGGGATTTTTGGAGCCTTGTTGTCTTAGTACCCAGGTAGAAAATGCTTTAAAGGGGCCCAGGTAAATGCTCAGCAGTTTCTGAAAGAAAGGCCCTTCTTCTTCAGAAGAAAGTTGGGCACCAATAACATCTCGGATGAGGTGCTTGTGAAAATGGTGGGCCAAGACTTCGATCCCCTTTTCACTACCCAGGGGTTACAACCAAAGTGTTAGATCAGTGGTCTCCAACCTTTTTAAGTATAAGATCACCTTTGGCATTTAAAAACAACCCAAGATCTACCATATGCTGCCCCCCACCCAGCAGTTAAGTCTGTGGGCAGGGAAGTGGGGGGCAGATTAATAACCTCTGTCTAACGCAGGAGGTCTATGGGCTAACTAGGGGAGAGGCATTGCTTGACCTAGTCCTGGCCAAAGGGGAGGACCTGGTGAGTGATGTGAGGATCCAAGGGAAGCTTGGTGACAGTGACCATGAATTGGTCACCTTAGTTCACCAAAGAGCAGGCAAACCCCTCAGTAAAACAGAAGTCCTTAACTTTGGGATGGCTGAATTTTCCAAATTCAGAGATTTGGTTAGTCAGGCAATTAGAAGACATTCCCCTCCCCACCCCCACCCCCCAAGAAAAGGAAGTACATGAGGAATGGTCATCTCTCAAAAACATAATCCTAGAAGCACAAAGGAAAGCTATACCATCTCACAAGAAATGCAGTCAACAGGCAAGGAAGTCCCCCTGGCTGAACAAGGAACTGTCAGACCTCATTTAACTCAAAAGAGAAGCCTACACCAGCTGCAAAGCAGGAAGCATCACCAAAGAGGACTACTCGGCACTCGCCCACACCTTTAGAGAGCAGTCGAGAAAAGCCAAGGCACAAACTGAACTCAGGCTAGCTACAGGAATCAAGGACAGCAAAAAGTCCTTCAGATGTGTAGGAAATTGAAAAAGAACAAAGATAGCATTGGGCCCCTGCGAGATCCAACAGGGCAAGATGCCCAAGAAAGGGCCAGTCTCCTAAATTACTTTTTGCATCAGTTTTTCACCCTCCCAGGAGGATTGCACTGTCAGAAAGGACACAAACCATTGTGGGAGTGGGTGATGGGCCCAGAATCAATGCAGATCAGGTGAGGGAATACCTCGAGAAACGGGACATTCACAAGTCCATGGGCCCAGGCAGAATGTACCCGAGATGTCTGCCAGCTCCTTCAAGACTCATTGCGGCCCCCTTGGCAGAGATATTTAAAAATGTGTGGCACTCAGGTGAGATCCTGGAAGACTGGAAAAGAGCCAACATGGTCCCTATCTTCAAGAAAGGGAGGAGGGATGACCCGGGGAATTAGAGACCAATCAGTCTGATGTCCATCTCTGGAAAAATCCTGGGAAAAATTGTCAAGGGCTCCATCAACACCAGTCTAACAGAAGGCAAGCATCTGAATGCCAGCCAACATGGCTTTGTGACTGGCAGGTCTTGCCTGAACAACCTCATCTTCTACGACCAGGTAACATGCCCTGGACAAGGGAGATGACGTAGACATCATATATCTGGATTTCAAGAAAGCCTTTGACCTAGTTCCCCATGATGTCCTCATGATTAAGCTGGGGAACTGTGGCTTTGACCATCATATGGTCTGATGGCTAGGCAGCTGACTACGGGGTCAGACCCAAAGAGTACTAGTTGATGGGAGCAAATTGACATGGTGCAGGGTGAGCAGTGGAGTCCCTCGGGGCTCGGTACTTGGGCCGGTACTCTTTAACATCTTCATTAATGTTCTGGATTCGGGAGTCAGATGCAAACTGGCCAAGTTCGCGGATGATATCAAATTATGGGGGAGGGATGTGTCCAGTATTGGGCCCCCCCACTTCAGGAAGGATGTGGAGAAGCTTGAGAGAGTCCAGAGGAGAGCCACTCGTATGATCCAAGGCCTGGAGGGCAGGCCATATGAGGAGAGGCTGAGGGACATGGGACTCTTCAGTCTGGAGAAGAGAAGGCTCAGGGAGGACTTGGTGGCAGCCTACAATTATATAAGAGGGGTGCATCAGGACCTGGGAGAACAGCTGTTCACCAGAGCTCCCCAAGGAATAACAAGGTCTAACAGCCATAAACTCCAGGAAGGCCTATTTAGACTAGACATAATACAAAAGTTTTTTATGATGTGAGTGTCCAGGGTCTGGAAGAAACTCCCCTCAGAAGTGGTGCAAGCATCTACTCTGGACTCTTTCAAAAAACATGTGGATGTATTTCTTGTTGGGGTCACTTGATCCCAGCTGACTTCCTGCCTATGGCAGGGGGACTGGACTCGATGATCTCATGAAGTCCCTTCCAGCCCCTGATTTCATAGACATTAAGGCAGAGAGAGAAAAAATTATTTGGGGGTGCACCTCCCCAGCAGGTAAGTCCCACCCACCCAGGACCCCACTCAGCTTACCCCACTCCTGCCTCTGCGGCACTGTCCCTCACTGCGGTGGCCTTAATCTAGCCCCTGCCTCTTCCCTCCCACAGACTGACCTGCTGGGCTGGGGTGCACGCATGCATGCACGTGGGCACTTGGCCCCCCACCCCAACCTCGGATCAACTCCGAGATCTATTGCAATAGGCTTCAATATTTACCAGTGGATCGAGATCCACTGTTTGGTGACAACTGTGTTAGATTGTCCCTCAGGCCAACTGAATTTGCTTGTAATGTTTGGTTTGAGCACTGTGATACATTGCTCTTATCACAGGCTCCAACACGTATTTAATAAATGAGACGATACTGGTAAATAATGTAGGATTACTCCAGTGATAGAAGTGACCAAAATCTAGCTCTAGATCTAATGGTAAGCAGGACCTGATGCTACTCTTGGGGAGAAATCCAGGTCCTGTCAAAGGGAGTCCTGTATTGGCTTTCAGCCACAGAGCAAAGTAGAATGGCTGACTGGTAAGACTTCTGTTGTAGACGCCTATGACTTTGTGCCTGGGGCCCTGTTTCTTTTATTTTTGGTTTGACAAATGCCTGATTTTGAAAGGAGAGTAGTGGGTGGCCCCAGCAATGGTTTATCAGCATGCTGCAGCAGCTAGCAAAGCAATCAACCGAGGAAAGCTTTAGCTAGTAAGATAATCATCACTACTGTTCTTCTGCCTTCAGTGCTTTTGCCTTGCGCCTTGTTGATGGTATATCTTGTCCATAACCGTTCAGTCTTGACTGTTAACATCTTCCTTTTTCTCAGACTGTGTTGGGTGAATCCTGTACTTTCCTCCAACTTCTTGTGGCTTTTCCATCCATGGCTTTTAATGGCAAGAAATGTTAAAGCCTTGTTTGCACAGGAGACTCTCCAACTACTTTTCCCACATTGTGTCCACAGAAAAAAAAAGCACTGCTAATGAGAGGAGATGACAGTAACCTCTTGCGTTCAAAGCAGTCTGCGAGCTAAAATGTGTCACTCTGTTGTAGACACCAACCTTTCCACCCAACTGCTTAAATACCAATTTCTACTACACTGTTGTTAAAGAAGGAATTGTAGGCTAAAAGGTGCCCAGCCCAGTAAAATTATATTTCATTCAAATAACAGCAAAGGCCCATGTGGACAAGTTCAAACCATGTCCCACATTGTTGACATGGCCATTTACAATGCTACCTGGTGGCCTTCAACTCTTCACACTGGTGATGACATCACTTTAAGATGGCTAGAACAATGTGCCGAAACAGCATAAATGAATAAATTCCAAACTAAGCATATTGCTTATATTATTTCAGGCTAACTGGCTCGTCTTCTCTGACTTGCTGGGAAAAGAGTAATGATGAGGGACAGTCAGGGGTGGCGTGGAGGGGTGATATTGTATTGAAATCTTTAAGGTGGGTAAGCAAAGGCGTTTTTGTTTGCCTTAAGAAAGAGTGGGTTTGCCGCCTTTGTCCCTAAGATGTATTGAAAGACCTGAATGTTGGAGCCACTTTGTTCTCATTTGATGGTTTTAAAATGCTCACAACAAATTGAATAACAGTTTACTTGCATTGAAAATGTGTTACTCTTTCCTACACGGCCTACCTTTTCAAGCTCAGCACTGACCCAGAGTCTGACCTAGTTCTCTTGAAAGCAATGGGAACTTTGCCATCCAGGTCCCCTGTAACAGATCCAGGTCCCCAGGGGCTGGCTGGATCCATGATGATTTTCATCTGTTGAGGTTCAGACGTTAAGATCAGATAATAAGGTAATCACTGCCAAACAGCTACTTGAAATCTCTCTTTATTGGCAGATCTTGTTAACTCCTGCTGGTAAGCGGAAGTGTTTGCTGCAGCGAGCAAATGGGGAAGGAAAAAAATAACACGTACAAATCTACTGGGGGTTTGTGCTGCTTGCTCTCTGCCATAACTGTAGCTGTGAGTGAGATCAGAAAGAGGCAGCATTTCGAGCTGTGAGTAGGCTCCCAAGATGGTAAGTATGTTGAATTATTATGCTACTGTCTTGTGGTTTTTTTCCAAAAAAGGGAGATGAATGTACCTTGCTCATCTGAGGTACATCAAAGAGCTCACAGGGAGGAGATTTTATTTTAGAAGCTCATCTTTGTAAGGGCTTGACATGCATGTTTTGAATTTCTTGCTGAGAAAAATTCAAAAGATGCCCAAGCCTAAAGCTCTCTTGTGTTGTAACAATAAGGGATATGTACGTGTGTGTGTGTGTGTGCATGTGCGTGCATGCATGCATATATTAGAAAGCAACCCTGTGTTATGCAGCATCAAATAGCCCAACATGCTCACCAAATACTAGGATTAGCTTCTCTGGCTATTGCTAATATTTAGCAATATTAAACACATATTTTATTCCTTGCCCTTTGGTAGACTTCAGGCACTGGAAGCAGCTGGCAAAGTTGAAGAAAGCGGTTAACGAGTTGTGGTGAATTAATGATCCATAACTGGGCTTGTTTTTTCTCTTAAAAGCTTCAATTCTCTTTCATTTTCTTTTTTCCAAAATTAAATTTTGGTACCAGATCCTCTGTTGCTGTGGTTTGATGCATTTCTGTGGGCTTTGGTCAATAGAACCAGCTGGGGGTTGAATTCCTGATGGTCAGTGGGATTGTAGGATTCCTTTGTTTGAACAAGATGGGGTTTTATTCCTCTTGCATATTATGGCATATGGGAGGTTGCTCAGTCAGTTTTAAAAAGAAAGCTGCTCCTTCCCAAAGCTGTTTTGTGTCACTAAAAAAGAGAACTGAAACATGTTAATTATAACTCCCTCGAGCTGCCACCCTTTGAAGGCATAACCTCACTGGGAGTGCACAGAAAGCTGCAGTTCCTCTACAGGCTCCTGCTGGCATCAGAGCATCAGACGATGTCCTGCAGAGAATGTTTTAGCTTTGGGATCTGGATGGGTTGTTGACCTCTAACAGGCCTCTCCAGCCCCTGAGCTGTGGTTCCAGGTGCCCAAGTGCAGGGGGTTGTGACCAGAGACTCTAACTGGTTGGAGGACCTGCCAAAGCAACCAAAATCAGAGGAGTGGAGTGGGGGCATGAGATTACCCTTTCCCCAGCAGGGTGGACCCAGAACTGTGCAAGGGACTTATACCCCTGACAGACATTCACTTTAAAACATGATGGGATCTAATCCTCGATTCCAACAGTCATGCATCCACATATGTATGGCAGGATGAACAACTGTGGGATCAGACAACCCAACTGCACTTCATTTTCTGGTCCAGACCCTCCCTGCACCAGTAAGATGAATCCAATCAGCTGGCTGTCAATTGGGGTCAAGAACCAATCCAGTCCCCAGCCCTGGTCAACAATCTGCTCAGCACATGCAGAGCTTGATGCTCGGCGGGGTAGCACGCAACGTTTATACAGTTCCCAGAGCACAGGGACCTCAACATCAGGCTGCGGCAACCCGATCAATACAGGGCTCCCTGAATACCAGGTCCTGTCAGCTGGGTGCCCCCCAGGCAGTCCTGGCCACACTTTCAATTTAAGGTGTGATACAAACAAGCCACAAAGTTATTCCACATTATAGGCAATGGACTTACAATAAGCAGAATAACTTTGTGGCTTGTTTACTGCATTATCATATCTTACAATGAGTTGCACGTGTGTCCGGTTACTATTTAAACCTGTCAATCGCATCTCTAAATGTAATGTGTGTTTGGGGCCTCCAGAGCTGAGGTGGAAGCAGCTAAAATGATCTTTGCCTACTCACACTGAGTGGACTTTCTCTGCCCTGTGCTGACTGGCTGTTTGCTTCTACTCTCTTCCTTCTCGGTGGTCTCTTCACCTCAACCCCATTTCACACCTGCCCCTCTTTCCCTCACCCTCCCTTGCCCAGTCAAGCCCTGTCTGCCTCTTCTCTCCCCTTTTCTTGCCACATAACTGCTTTCCTCCTAATTAAAACAACCCCCAAAATTCATGGCCCTGCCCTGACATTTGCTGCCCTCATGATGGTCACTGCTGGTGTGCAATAGCCCTTCCCCCACCCTGTGCCTGTCTCACCAGCTGTCTGGGGCAGGGACCGTTTATAACTCTGTATTTGTATTGGTCTCAACACAATGGACCCTGTGCTTCAACGCTGCAATCATAGACCTCGTTTTCTGACTCTGAGCGAGGCTGACAGCTGTCCTCTGTGCACTTGTGGACTGTTTTTGTTTTTTTTTACATGACTGTTTTCATCCTTTTATTCTGTTCCTTTTCCACCCTGGTCTCTGTTCGTTGTTCTGCCACCTTTACACTTTCATCTGAGTCTCTCCTCTTCTCCAAGCCTCTATTTGAGGTCCACATCCTCAGTTGTTCACTGTCATTTGGGTGTTTCTCCTCCCTTCCATCTGACTCTTGGGACTCAGTAGCCTTTGGGTATGTCCACACCAGAACCAGAAGCTGCCTATACACATGCTCAGGGGTGGGGTGGGAGGTTTAATCAGAGTGGTTCCTGGAGAGCTGTTTTAATTAAAAAGCCTCACTGTCACATGTATTAAGCGCCCATGTATTTAAAAACGGCTGCGGGATGCTTTATTTAAACCTCGTTCCATGAGGTTTAGATATAGTGCCCCAAGAGCCATTTTAAAACTCACAAGGGTTTATACATGTGATGGCGAGGCCACACTGGAGCATTCTAATTAGACAGTGGAGCAAACTTGATTAATTGAATTTGCTCTGATGCTTTCTAATTAGAGTGCGAACCAGCATGTGTATAGGCACCAGAGGTTTGAGTGCAGCAGGGCCAGACATACCCCATTTAGCTTTAGCCTCTTTGGTTGGCTATATCAGGGAAGCCCTGACAATGTGTGCAGTACAAGCCTGCCTGGGCCATGGGAATCTATTTGTGGGGCTAGCTAGGTTAAACTCCATGCTGTAATCACGCTTCCAATTGCAGGTTAAGCACTGTGGGGGTGCATTACAGCTCAGGAACAGTGATCAAGAGGGCTGCTCATGTTGTACTAGCACTTTTTGTTCCTATCGTAATGGAATCCGTCCTGCCTCAGGATAAGTCCTTTGCTTCTGGAACAACTAATGTCCCCTCGCACCAGATTCATTCTTGGTGTAATTCCACTGAAGTCAGTGGAGTCATTCCAGGGCTCATTTTGATCCTTTAGGTATATGTGAAGTGTTTGCTTGTGAGTGTTTAGAAAGGTAACCCCTCTTTGAGCTCTAGGGTGTCTTAGTGATATTCTGCTATTATAAAAGCATCGCATGTGCTGCAAATATGAATATGCTTTCTTTAACTCCTTGGGGCAGTTTCTGCTGGCTGGTGCCAACACAAAAGCAGGGACATGCTTTCTGTAGATGTGGACCTGGAGAACTCATGCATCCAGGGAGAACACAGCCTGTACACCAGGGTTAGCTAGCTTCTGAAACACGGCTGTTTTGGAGGAAAAGAGGCCCAGACATTTTAGGCCTGTTTGATCAATGTCCCTTAACACAATCCCTGCCTTGAAGAGGCTGCAGACTGAGACAACAATCAATGCATATAGGGCAGGGAAGAGGGATTAAATATAGTCAAAATGTAAAATAATTTAGATGTTGGAAAAACTACACTGTCCTTTCTACCTTTCGGACCTTGACATTATTAGCGGCCACCTTACTCACAAGTATTATGGGAAAAGCTGGGTGTTGTGATATCTGAAGTGGGGGGGTTAGTTCCTTATACTGTAAATGCAGGGAGGTGTTATTTGTGCAAAAGCCCTATGGAAAAAGCTGCAAAAAACTAACCCTCCCCTTCATTTTGAAGTCTTTTCATGCCACCTAAGGCCCATTTTATAGCAATTGCTCTCTGGACTCTAATGTCTGAATAGTGTATAAAACACAGCGATTACCTGGATTCCTGTATGAAATAGGCTTTAGGCAAACTTTACTCTAGAACTTCCTTACATCTCTTACTTTTTTACATGCACATTTCTGTTTTTCAGGGTGAGAGCAAGATATTTAAAAAGTCCCAGATGTCATATAAGTACTTTTATCAGAAATTAAATCCAAATGATCAAAAAGACATCAGAATGGTAGGTTATTTGAGTACACTGCTTTTTGTCTATCAGAGTTGGGAATTGCATTCCATTGTACCAAAATCCTGGAAAAGAAACGGCAATTTAATTATAATACTTTAGTACAAGTTTTGAATTGTGTCAGTTTTTATCCTGTTTGCTGCTGATTTCACTGCCAAAAGTGCGTGTTGACTCAACTAAAGGTCTGATGAAACCCTGCTGCTTGAAATAACACGAAGCCTAAATCCTATAGTCTTTGCTTACAGGGGAATCCCTACTCATGCAAGCAGTCCTGTTTCCTTCCCTAGTACTCAAATGATCAAGGGGTTCACCCTTCCTCTGAAAACAGCTGTTTATAATTTAGAGAAGTTATGCCCAAATTAAAAAAAAAAATTAAGCAGCTTTTTATGGTGTAAATGGATCTTAAACTGGTATCTTATGGAGTGGTTAGCATCAAAATAAGAGATTAATAATTGTGGCAATTTCTGTTCTTCACAATTATTTGTTGCATGTCCACATTGACACCTCTGGCTTGTAGCCCAATTTTCCTAAAGTAATGAGGCAGGAGACTCCAGCTCTCTTACCTTCTGTCCACTTGTTCCCATGCCACATGCACCAAATCCTAGAAATGAGGCAACAGAATTGCTTTACAACTGCCCTGAGGTAGTAAGCACATGTAAAAGTGGTACTGGGCATGTGTTGGCAATGGGGGTGCATCACTTCATTGGGGGGAGTCAGCACGTGCAGAACGGGGATGGGTTTAGCTGTCCTTCACAGGGGTATCCCAAGCAAGTCATGGAATTGGTGCAGACATGCCCTGAGAGCCTTCCTCAAAGAGCTGAACCTTCCCAGCTCTCAAGACTTGTATTCAACACCTCAGAGAATCGGGTCCTAGAGCCTAACCGATAGAATAAAAATGATCCTTTCGCCAGCAGTTATCAGTGGAGAGTATGCTGTGTATGTGGATGTGGGCAGTGCAAGCCAGCTGCCTGCTTTTCTTATGAAACACACACACATAAAGGAAAACAAATCTGATTAACTGCAATGAAACTGTAAAGAAGGAACACTATCCACTTCATAGATTAATGAGCTGCTGAGTTTCAATTTAAAAAAATGGTAGTGTAAGAGTGGTGTTGTGATGGTCCAGTTTCAAAACTGACATTTTCGAGTTGGAATATAAAAGCAAAACAGTCTGAACTTGCAAAATAGCTTCCTGTTTCTGACTTGGCATTAACATAACAGCAAAGCTGCCCATTCTTTCACGTTTGTAAGCATACCTATTATGGTGGAGCTGGGCATGACTCCATGTTTAATGTTTGCATTCTAGATTTTTTTTTGATGGGAGAAAGTAGGATAAAATACCTACTTACTATTCCTGTGTTAAAATAAAATGAAATATGTCAAATAAATTTGGAGTAAGGGAAGATATTTTGGTAAGTCAACTTGATACAAAGGTAAATGAGGTATCTGTGCTTGACAGTAGCTGAAAGCAGAATTAACATTCAATTACTTTCCTCTTTGCTTGCAACGTGGTAAGTATTCAGTATGATGTACCAGTTCTTGGAGGCCCTTTCAGCTACGGTCAAGCCACATCTAATGTGAACTCTGTTCTAGTTGCAGATCATGGGGGCCATTTCAGTAGTTGTCTTTATTGCCCTGACGGCTATTTACATCCTAAAACATGTCGCTGTAGTCATCCCAGAGGATGAAGAAACCATTGTCAGCATCTACTATCAGGGACGTGATCAAGTACTCTTTGACGAGATTGTAGAAGACAGGATTACTAAGGAAAACACTGTCAATAGATGTAAGGACTCATGCATGTAAGTCGCATCTGATAGTTAATTAACTGTCAGACAAAGTGCTCTAGTGTTAGTCTAAAAACGAGCAAGATAACAAAACAAGTTACTGCAATGTTTAATAAAGCTGCACTAGTTTGGAAGGACATTTGACCCACTTGATTACACATCATGCAACTGTAGAGCCTAGAAATAGAAAACACTATTGGGTCACCTTGTCTAAGCCCAGAGGTTGTGTTATAAATGTCTATTACAATATCCTGAGAGGCATTCAGGCTCCTGCATATTTGTTGATGGGCTTCTCAGGTCGTGAATGTTTGCTTCATGACATGCAATTGTCATTGCAGTTTTGAACTTGTGGAAAGTGTTCCTTATGATATGCCTTATGAAAGCAACAGCACCACTGCAAAACCCTTAGACCAAGCCTGGATGGGTCTTCTCAACATGGCTCAGGACAGGATTCATATGGTTTCCTACTATTGGTCTCTTACTGGAAAAGATATAAGTGTAAATGACACATCTTCTGAAAAGGTAAAAAAAAAAGGCAAAAATGGGTTTATATGTGATCGTGCAGACATATAGAGACATCTAGAAGAGCACTTTCCCCAGGTGACTACACCCACATCAGCTTCTCTAGCTTCCCCTCGTCTCATCTGGGTTCTTGCAGCCTTCAGAGATTGAGTCCCTGAGGTACCCAGTCCCCCAGCCAAGATGCAAAAAGTTCATCCCTTCAGAGGTGTCCAACTCTAGGTAAACACAAAGCCTAGACTCTTCCACCTTAGCCTAAAGATAAACCTTACCTCCTTTTTTAAAGGGTCTGTTTTCTTTCCCACCACCTGGGACTCAGCCTCATCCCACCCTAAGCCCTGTCTCCTCCCCCATGCGGCAACATAGGAGGAACCCACGCTCTGGGAACTGAATACCCCTGGACTTTCTGACCAGCCTCAACCACTCTTGCTCCTTCCTAAGTTCTCTACCTGAACCCACTGTCCTTCCACTCTTACAGAGACCTGCTCCCAGGGCTGTGCTGTCTCTAGGTCTTCTCTGCTTGATTATCATCACAAGCTGCTATTCCCATGCCCTTGCCCTTGCCTCTCCAGCAAGTCTTATTTTACACATTTCTACCACGCTGCAGGGGAGAGTTAGATGTAGCACCCATGCAACTGAATCTCAACACTCCTGATGGGCCAGTTTACCCTGGGACAGTCCCTATAACTTTTATCCTTAAAGGAAAATTATATGAAAAATCAATTTAAAAGTATCCTCATCCAGGAATTGTTGTTATTGCTTAGGTTTCATCTTTGAACTCCACGCTATTTCAGTGTTGTGTTTGGCTCTACATGGAAGTGTCTTAAGACTGATTATATTAATCAGTTATAGGAAGCAAAATGGTATTCCTGAATTGGATGGGGAGCTTTGCTTTGTGTCTTTAATTCCTCTCTAGTGGAAGCATTCTTAATCGAGATTAAATATTCCCTACCCTTGGACTATGTTTACTTTCTTCATATGGTTACCTAACTCTCTCATCATCATCCATTATAATGAGGGGTGTGTTATTCAGGGTGAAGATATTCTGAAGAAGTTGGAAAGTTTACTTATGGAGAATGTCTCTGTGTATATAGCAACCAGTCTTCCAACTTTAGCAGTAAAATCAACTGACCTTAATGTTTTGGAGGCAAAAGGTATTGCTAATTCAAATAGTATCTTCAGTTCTTTAGTGTGGTAGGATGGCCACTAATGCCCCAAGTTGGCATAGCACTTAAGATCATGCTTAACTTCAACACAGTAAAACTATTCATGTGCTTAAAATTAATCATGTACTGAAGGGGGCTTTATTGGAAAGGTCTTCAATGTAGTTTGATCTATCTTTATGGTATTTTTCTGAAAGTGAAGCTATAGTAACTGTTACCATGTATATAAACTGTATCTCCAGCAAACTGTGCTTGTTAGTTTTGGTGGAATAGTTGCTAGGTGGATTGTAAGTGATTGAAATCCATAAAATATTTGGCTAGGTGAAGAATGATACAGATTACCGTTTTCTTGTTAATATTAAACTTAAAAACTGTGTTGGGAATTGCTGGTATTTAAACCCATTTTTTCTCTTATTCAATATCTTTCCTTAGGGGCTCATGTAAGAAGAATTGATTTTGGAAAACTAACTAATGGTGTCCTGCATACCAAATTCTGGATTGTAGACATGAAGCATATCTATCTTGGCAGTGCCAATATGGACTGGAGGTCATTATCTCAGGTGAGCTGCACTGTTGACTGGTAACAATTTAGAAAAAAAAATCTAGGTGGAGTTAGATATCCAATATGTGATGGATTTCAGAGCCATCTGAGAGATGCTTTCATCATGCATATATTTTATCTTAGCTCTCCTTGCAAAAGCTCATGGTAATAATAAGCTAGAATATAGGCACAGCAGGAAAGCAGCACAGAGTGAAGAATACCCTTGAGGTCTAAGCAATTTATTGGGTTTTTTGACATCTGTTTACTCACTCTGCAGGTGAAAGAAGTTGGTGCCGTAATATACAACTGCAGCTGCTTAGCCCAAGATCTCTGGAAAACATTTAGCACTTACTGGGATGTAGGACATGCTAATGCTTCCATCCCAGACCCATGGCCAGCCAATTACTCCACCAACATTAACAAGGATCGACCTTTGGCAGTACAGTTTAATGGAACTTTGACAAAAGTCTATTTTTCTGTAAGTGGATTTAAAATTCAAACCTGCTATTTTTATATCCATTGTAAAATATGCCACATTACACTGGTAATGTCCTATTCTGTATTGCTGTTTCCTAAAGACTCCTGCTGCACCCAATTTGTGTTGAAAAGACCCTTGTCACATAATTCACTAGGACTACTCATAAACTAAAATTCTAGTAAATGTAAGTAAGGGATAAAGAATTGAGTCCTCTGTCTTCAGAGGAAGACAGTGCAGGGTCCTGTCATCTATTACTTACGTTGTCTAGTTCTTAACTTCCCAGGTAGTTCAACAGTTTTCAGTGAAACTATTTGTGGAGTAATTCATTACTCAGTGGGTGCATCTACACGAGACATTTAGTGCAGAGTTGTCTAATTAGCTCCACAGCAAAATCTCAGCATCTGCACATGCAGTGCTGTTAGGTCGCAGTAAACTAATAACTACACTGCTATAGGTTAGTACTTGTCAACACAAGTACTCCCTTACAGTGCACTGTAGTATCAGTGCATGTAGACGCTGATAGGTCTGGCTGGGACATAAGGGTGCTTCAGCGAGGCGGCTGCCTGCTGGCTAGCCCTGCACTGGAGCACCATCGTGACGCGGCCAGCCCTTCCGCAGCATGCTGAGCTGGGTTGGAGCAGCCCCAGGCTGGTAGGCTGAGCCTCTGGATGAGCTGCCCTGGTATAGCTTTCACCTGCTGTGGGACGGAGCAGACATACACAACCGTTACCTTGGATCAGCTGCCGTATGGCAAGTCTACCCCTTTTGTGCTCCATCTACTTTGTCCATCTTTATATGTAATCAAAATATGAATATCCAGTAATGTATACCAGTGTCTTAACAGTTGTTCAAAGAAAATGGTAGGTTATAAACAGAGAAACATACAATAATCATCAGGCTTTATGTTTCCCACCATGCAGGCATCTCCTCCTGCCTTTTCCCCGAAGGGTCGTACCCATGACCTCCTTTCTGTTATCAGCATTATAAAAGATGCACAGGAATATGTATATGCTTCTGTTATGGAATATTTCCCTACAAGCCGCTTCACACACCCAGCTAGGTATGATGCTAAATCTGGATAAATCAGACAAATATATTCATAACTAAATGCTAGCTATAACAGTTTGTTCTTACTAGAAATGCCCCAGCCCCGTCCCCTGCGCACATGTAAATATTGTGCTTTTACATGTGGTGAGGGAACAGAGACTTTGGACCCAATTCTCCATTGCTCTGCACCTTGGACTGTCATTCATGTCACTGCCAAATGGGTACGAAATACTTCCCTTTTTGTTCGGTAGCAGTTCACACTGGCTCTGCCCTCACTTCGGATCCAAGTAAACCACAATACAGGGGCAGGAGAATCAGGCCTTTAACCTCCAACTTATTTCAAGCTGAAACCACAAGAACCTGGAGACAGAGAGAGAGTGGATTTGCAGAAATATTTTGGTGCAAAAATTTCCAAAAAGTGAGCTGCTTTGTTTCCCTCCTCTGCTTCCCAACACCTCCAGTCTGCCACCTTCCCTATGAGTTCTTGGCTTCTGGCCCTGGGAGAAGCTGATTGTTGTGGTCACACCATGATTTTGGGTAAGAACAAATGTCACCTGGTGTTGCACTTGTGCTTCCATAACCATTTTATGGTGACACAAATGCTGAGCAAATAGATGTCCCTGCCCTTTGTCAGTATTGCGACAAAAAATACTAACAAATGTTGCTGCTTTATTGTGGCCAACATCTATTTCCTCTGTGGTGCCAGAAGGCAGGCGGCCTGCATCCCCTGCTGCCCTGGGGTCTGATCCTCCGTACCTGGGCAGGATCCGGCTCCTCCAGCCCCCAGGGCATCTGCCTGGCTTTTGCCTCCTACAGACACACCGGGGGCCCATCTCTGTAAGCAGGGAAAGCCCACACAGGTCCCACATGGAGGTATGGGACCCAGGGAATCCTAGGCGCCCCGTGCCTCCACACTGGTACCCATATGAGCCCAGGCCTCTACAGTGGGATCTACACTGGCCCATACTGCATACAGAGGCACAGATCAGTAAGGGACCGGGCCGGGCCAGGGCATAGAAGCCAGGTAATTCCCACCACCCTGTGCCTCCAGGCTGAGACCTGCACTGACCATATGAAGCACAGGTCCCAGCACAGAGGCCCAGGGTGCTGGCGATTCCCCAGGTCCTATGCCCTTCTGTGTTACCCTGTGCCATGTTGACCTGTGCCTCTGCTTGAAGTACGGGTCACCGCTGGTACTGGCAAGGAGGCCCAGGACGATGCAGGAACTGGGGAGTTCCCGGCACCCCTTGCCTCCATGCCAGGATCTGTCAGTTTGGGACTGAGCCTCATGAATTTCCCAGCTCCCGCACTGCCCTTTGCCTCCCTGCTGGGACCTATTCTGCTCTGTGTTGCAGGCAGAGGCACAGGTCAGTGTGGGTCTGGTCCGAGTGGGGAGGGAGGGCGCAGGAGTGGGGATTCCTCAGATCTCCCCACGCTGGGCCCCGTGCTGACCTGTGCCTCCACATCGCAAGGGGAGCACACCACCCCTTGTCCCACATTAGCCAGGGGGTCTGAAGCAGAACAAGGGGCGACGTGTGCATCCCCCAGCAAAGCGGATTAGTTGTGGTGGAACATGTCCCATCGCAGCTGATCAGCTTTTGTTCGGCGACATCTGTTTCTACCCTTCAATCCTACTAATGACTCTTGATTCCGGTCTTACTGTATATCTTGCTAGTGTCTGTGCTTCTCTGCTTCCTTCCACTATATTTCAAATGAAGCCTGTATGCATTTCCCTCCCTTACATTACAAAGGCATCTACGGTTGTCCAGGCTCTTCAAGGAGGGATGCACACCTGCACAGGGCAGGGAGACGGCATTGTATGTTTGCTTCCTGCTTTGGGAACTAGCGGGAGCCAGAATTGTAAGCACTGTGGCTAGATATTTTGCCTACTCTGCGTATAACCTTAGCTTTGACTAATTCAGAGAGCTATTAAGTCATTAGGTATTAAAAAGGAACAACCTCTAAGCTGCACTTGATTGGGAAGTTTACATGTACTTGATATGCATGGAACATCTCTGTGGTTCTCAAAGAACTGATAAGGAGAGATGATTATATGTAATTAGGTGCGCTTTGCTCAAAGACGCTTGTAAGGAAATGGGAAGCCCTGAATTACCATTCGTTTTATGTTGCTATCAACAGTCTTATCCTAGTATGCGTCTTCTGGTATGATGATCACTGAGCATAAGGCTACAGCTAGGGGCTTCAGAAGCTTGAGGGCATGGAGGTGAGATACAGATAGATGATGTTGGCCTTAAAACAAATATTTAAAGTCTGTCTGCCTCTTGACAGATACTTCTGCAAGTCAAATGATTCAGAGAAATTCTGTTTTCCTGTTATAGATTTGATTGGACTTATTCCTTGCCTCCCGTTGTTTTGGATTAAAATTAGTTGCCTGACAACCAGTTATTTCCCCCTTGAGAATCCATTTGTTAATGCTGCTCATTCTCCACCTTGAACCTTAATCCCTGGTTTGTGATGTCTAGGGCTTCATCTGACACACGCGCATCTGAATGGCCTGTGGGACAAGGGATTGGGGCCCCAGATCATTTCCACAGCATCCAGCCATAATGTTACACATTGAGGCTGATTAGTTCAGGGCATGTGGCAGCAGATGAGGCTGATGAACTCAGAAGGAAAAAGGCTTCTGTTTTAATAACTATGTGTTCATGAACTAGGGAGCTGGTTTTAAAATATGGAAACCATATTTTACAGGTGCCAGGAGGAATTACGGTCCCTGCATTCAGAGAGCAGATCTCTGTGCTTCCTTCACACTCTTGTCCTGAATACTAAAGGGGCAAGGAGACATGGACGGGAAGTGGTACCACGTGCTCACTTCCATGTGCGTTCACTGGTGGAATAGGATGGAGCTAAAGTGGGAGCCATGGCTCTGCCCATAATACTTCCAAGAGGCTTTCTGTAGAACAGCTCCTGAGGGCCCCAAAGATATTCACAGAACCGAGAAAGGTTCAAAGATAAAAACTCACCAGCACAAATATAGAAACCCTTTCATAGCAAATTTAATGATGAAATACAGATGAGCTATAAATCACTGAACAGTACAGGTAAGGCACACATCAAGCAAATGATTACAATTTCTAAAATGTGCATTCATCTACAGAAATATCAATCAAATTAACATGTGAGAGAATTCAAAAATAAAATTATCTCAAGTCCTAAGGTTTTCAGAATAGCCTCTAGCAGGTTACTAGGGCTGTGTGAAATGGCTGTTCGGATTCGGATTTGGCCATTTCAGAGTGATTCGATTCGGTGTTTAAGATCACGGTCCCGATTCGATTTGGCCAAAACTGTTTTGGAATTTTGATGCTGTTTTGGAGATTCAGCCATAGACTATAAGGGGGAATCACTAAAATACATATAACTTTGTCATTTTTTGGCTGATTCAGATGAAAATTGGAGAGATGGTAGCCCCTTCTGAAGCCTCCAAGTTTCAAGGAGATAGGTGCTGGGGTTTTTGTGAAACTGCGCCTCAAACTGTCCAAAGCAAAATTCATATAACTTGCCGATGCGGCAGCCTGCTGTCATCCCATGTGCAGATCCAGGGGCCTGTGCCTCCCGGGAGGGCTGCGGTGCTCTTCTAGACTCCTCCCAGGGGTCATGGGCCCCTGGATCTGTGCGAGGGATGACAGCAGGCTGCTGTTGCCGGCTGGGACCAGCACTCGACACAGCCCACGCCAAGTGCTGGGAGGATCCAGCTGACAGCAGCAGCCTCCTGCCATCCTGTGCACAGATCTGTGGGTCCGCACCACCCAGGAGGGCTGCAGAGCTGTGCTGGACTCTTCCCAGGGGTGTAGACCCCTGGATCTGCATGCGGGATGACAGCAGGCTGCCGTTGCCAGCTGGGGCCAGCGCCAGCACTGGGTTCTTTCCAGCGCTTGGCATGGGCTGTGCCAAACAGACTCAGGTGCTGGCCCCAGACAGCAGCATGCTGTCATGCCACACACAGATCTGGGGGTCTGTGCCCCCCAGGAGGGCTACAGAGCTGTGCCAGACTCCTGGGGGGCACAGGCCCCCAGATCTGCACGCAGGATGAAGGCAGGCTGCCACTGCCAGCTGGGACCAGCACTTGGCGCAGTGCATGCCAAATGCTGGGAAGGCTGATGCTGCCGTTGGCCTCAGCTGGCAGTGACAGCCTGCTGTCATCCTGCACGCAGATCTGGGGGCCCGCACCACCCTAAGGAGTCTGCACAGTTGTGCTGGACTCTTCCTGGGGGGCATGGACCCTGGATCTGCATGCGGGATGACAGCTAGCTGCTCCCCCTCCCCCAGAGCACTGGGATTGGAAAGGACCTCAGGGACAGATCTCAGACTTTGGCCAGCTACAGAGCAGTCCTTCCCCCATTTCCTCCCCCTCCCTCTTCTTAGTTTCTGGTTCCCTGCAAGCCCAGCTTCAAAACTCTGAAATTTTCCAAAAAGTTTCAGATGCTTTCATTTTATTTTGGAGCTTTTTCTCAGTCTCCTGTTCTGATTTGGATTTGGTGTCTTGGGCACTGAAACAGGCCAGAACAACTCTGAAATGAAATGGCTGTCAAAGCTTCGCACAGCCCCACAGGATACCCATTTTTTAGGGAGAAGGATTTTTCACCTAAGTGGCAAACTAAGATTTAAAAGAGCACTTATCTTGCTGGGCTGTTCAGCAAGAATTGTAGTTCGAGGCTGTAGAGCAAAGGTTCCAAGGTGAACTCAGATTTTTATCCTCTATTCCCTAGCTCGCTATCACAGAGCTTAGTAAGGCCCACATTTTACAAGATGTTTTTAATAGGTTTTACTCAAATTAATATTTATGTGCCTATTTTTACTCCCTATTTAAGCTATATCTTCCTAAACGAGATCTAACTGGCCACAAAATGTACTCCAAGCAACATGCAGCTTTATTCTTTTGACCTGTTTCACTTGCACTTTCTAAAATTATTCTTGCCTCTGATTTTCATTTGCTTGCTCATTTCTTTGCCTCTTCTTTTCTTTCCCAAACTTTGGTCAAGAGAATGCAAGCAAATGCTCTACCATATTGCAATTAAGCATCTTAAAGTGTACTATAATCTACTGCCCCTGACCTCCACACTGTCTTTATGCTGGGCTGTGACTTTTAAAGGTCTGGCCTTAGCACTATATTAGTGCTATAGTTACTTAGTGATCAGCAGGCGCATCTGCATGAGATTTTTGCTGCAGAGCTGACTAATTAGCTCTACAGTAAAACATCAGCGTTTACACATACAATGCTATTAGGCTGGAGTAAACTCATTTATTCCACCATATATACAAGTACTATCCAGTGGCAGACTAATTTACTCTACCACAACACATGTGTAGATGGGGACCAACCTGGCTGGGGCACAAGGGTACTTCAGTGCAGGGGCTGCCTGCCGACTAGCCCCACACTGAAGCACCCTCATGTCCCAGCCAACCCCTCAGCAACATGTTGAGCTGGGTCAGAGCAACCCCTGGCTGGCAGGCTGAGCCCCCTGGATCCTCTGCCAGCCTGGGCTGCTCTGACTTGGCTCTGCGTGCTGCAGTCCCAGGAGCACGTGCAAATGCAGCACCTGGGAGCAATAAATTCTGGCATAGTATGCTCCAGAGTTTATTTTGTTCCATTAAGTAGACATGTACATGTATCCTGTGTAATGTGAGATCTCTTGATGGATATGTTTTGCAAGTGCTTTTCTGTTAATTTACTTCCTTTCCTATAGATACTGGCCAGCTATTGATGATGCTCTGAGAAGTGTAGCATTCACCCGCAAGGTATGTGTCCGGCTTTTAATCAGCTGCTGGCTTCACACTGACCCCTCTATGCTCCGTTACCTGCAGTCACTGCGTGCTCTCAGTGATCCCAATACCCACATCAGCATGGAAGTGGTAAGACAGGAAAACTCTTGCTGTAATGGGCTGTACTTATAAGAAGGCAGATTTTGAGTGTGCGTCTCTGGGAACGGTAGTCACCGCACCCATGTGTGTTCTAAATGCACTGCTGTGTACTAGGGCTGTGCGAAGCTTTGGGTGCTGATTCGGTTCGGAGGAGATTTGGCCCGATTCGGTGGCTGAATCTCCAAATCTGAACTGAATCAGGGGACCAATTTAAAGGTCCGAATCGATTCAAAGCTCTTCAAATCTTTGGAAAAGATTCAGAGAGCTTCGATGATTCGGACAGTCCCCGGTGGCTGCAGCAGGAAGCTGCAGCCACTCTGAGCTGGTAAGTACTAGGGACAGGTGAGGGGGGAGGGGACTATGGGGGGACCCCAGCCCCCCCATGGCTTCTCCTGCCCACCCCAGCTCCGTACTTTAATGAAAAGCCCCGGTGCTCACCGGGTGCTGCTTGACAGAGGGGGCAATCCCCACTACCCCCCATTGCCCCACGCAGCATGGGGGGCTCTGCACAAGCTCCCCGACCCCACCCCTTGTTCCCCGGCCCCCCAACTGGTGCCCCGGCCGGGCCAGCTCTGGGCCTTTTAAAAAAACTCAGGAAAAGGCCTGGGACTCACCACTCCTGTAGCAGCCTCAGGGGTTTGGAGGCTCATGCTCAGCCCCCCATGTGGCATGGGGCAGTGGGGGGCAGTGGGGATCACTCCCGCCAGCAGGAGGGGAGAGTCCAGAGACTTTCTCATTGTTTTTTTTTTCTTAAAGGGCCGGAGCTGGCCTGGGCGGGGCACCTGTGGGGGGAGCTGGGGGGTCGAGGGGCTCATGCATAGCCCCCCATGCAGCATGGGGCAGTTGGGGGCAGTATGGATTGCCCCCCTTGCCCAGCAGCACCCGGTGAACCAGGGCTTTTTTTTTTAACAAGTGCTGGGAGCTGGAGTGGGCAGGGGCAGCCATTTCCAGGCTGCGGGGGATGAGCCTGGCCTGGCTGAGTCAGAGATTTGGAGATTCGGCCAGATCAAATCGGGACAGTGATTCGGATCTCATCGTTGTCCCCCGAATCAGCTGAATCCAAATCTGAAGCAAATACTAGCCGCTTTGTACAGGCCTACCGTGTACATAAATGCAAATGTTTGCCTGCATAAATAGGTATACTTATCGATCTTACAGCCCTTTCAAAACTGGGCCCAGGTACAATTTTTCAAGGAACTGTTGGCGTTTATTTAAAATTAGTTTGCAATATGAATCCAAGGCAGGGTTGCACTGTTCTTGTGACAGCTTACACGGTACGTGAATGCACTTCACACCCAATATCAAATTCCACAGCGTTACTTTTTGTGGTGTGAGGTATTCATCAATGACACTTTGTTTAATACCAAGCACATCTCAGGATGAATGATTCTCCTCTCTGCCCACCTACCTACAAATTAATTGCTGCACCAATGCTAAGCAATACTTAGAAATGTATCAATGGCTGTTGGTACCTCCTAACATGGAGTGGATACCAGGAGAGAAGACTGCAACAAGATCAAGAGGGAGGACTATTTAGTAGGACAAAGAAAAAAGGACTTCACATGTAATTTTTAATTAGAGTTTAAAAACATTAAAAATCTTTGTTACTCTTTGCAATACCTCTCCCTGTCTGGGGTCAGCCTATTCAAGCACGTAATAAAGTACCAATGAATGATGACTGGAGATCAGTAATGCTATTAAATAGCTGCCTAGAATTGCACTTAGTTGTCTTTCCTGTAGTAATAGTTGTTGCAGTGATGGAACAGTATGCAATGCACATTATCCTTAACTGATCCCACTGGATTATCCAATTATGCATACAGTGGAGTCATCATTTTGTCCAAGTTAGTTTTACTGGATATGTGTCAAATCTTTTCTAAATCATCTTAAGCCAGAGCTTTTGTAGATTCTATTCTGTTCTGGAAAACTGGGAAAGTTTTCAGTGTCCAATAACATTATCTGTGCTTTGCTCAAATAATTCTGCGTATGCTTTGTAATTTCCTTCCATGCAGAAGCTCTTCATTGTTCCAGTTCTGAATCACACGAACATTCCTTATGGGAGAGTGAATCACAACAAGTACATGGTCACTGATAAGGTGGCCTATATTGGTAAGCACCCTGCTGCTCTAAATGTGACTAGTTTAAGACATGATTAGAAAAACAGAGTTAGCACTGAAATGAAATTGGGTGAAATGTCAAATGTTAGCTCAGTTCATCAGGAAAAAGTACAGAATCATAGCACCGTGGATAGCATCTGGCAGAATCTCTGCACCGGATAGAGAAGCAAAGAGATGATGGGGCAGAAGCAGAGGGAGGGGTGGGCAATAATGTCAGACAAAATCAGCAAGAGCTTTATTTCATCAGATTGTGAACCATTAAGAATGAAAGTAGACAAGTCCTGGCCCCAAATGAGCAGAAGTAACTATTTCTGTAACACACTAGTAGTGAGATGTGTATCTAGAGTCGCACAGTGACAGTTAACGTTCCAGTGAAAAACATTATCTTGCTCTAATAAAATCATTTGTTGTCAGGTATCCACTTTACTGGGTATTTGTTACTGGGTATTCGTTAAACAGAACTCCAGGAGCGGATTTAAGAAGACAGTAGCTTCAGTCACTGCTAAATTAGTAACTGGCATTTATTTTTCCCTCTCATAGTAGAATTGTAGATCCGAGTAAGGGGCTAGAAAAGGCTTGGTAGGTCACCCATTTCATCTTCTAGCCAATGTAGGATGGTCTCCTATTAAATTTAATTTCTGAAGATAGAAACACAGGTAGTTTCTCAGCAAATTTATTTTCTAACCAATGCTCATTCTGGAATCACCTATAGATTTGTCCAGGTAAGACTGGCCTCAGGAGACACCCTAAGTACTAAAATAGGATTTATGATATATTCACGATGCTTAATGCTATGTGGCAGGGGGGCTTCTGACAAAGCATCAGGGATCATATCCAACCAGGTCTCTACCTTTGAACATCTGGTTAATGGGTCCAGCACAGTACCTGTGGGTCCCACCTGTGTATCTAACTCACCACCATATGTATTATTTATCTGGGGCCCATCTTTTTTTTTTTTTTTTTTAGCAGGTTCAGCTTTGAAAATTGTTTATTTATAGCCATTTCCTTTTGAAGGAGCAAGAACTTTAGGGCGTTTATAGATGTGCTCTGGGAGGCAGGGGAGGTGGGGCTTTAATTGGCACAGGTCCGAGAGCCGTGCTTATTAAAGCACCTGGCGTGTCACATGTATCAGCATTCCCACTCTGAAACGTGGCCCCGGGGCACTTTGAACTAAAGCTCGTTGAATGAGCTTTGGTTTAAAGCTTCCCGCCACCATTTTCAGCACGGGGATGCTGATTTACAGGACACTGGAGCCTGCTGGAGCACGGTAATTTCCACACTTGATTAACTGAGCCTGATCCAACGTGCTGTAATTACAGCAAGTCAGAGTAGCCTCCCTGCATGTGTATAGGAGTCCTTAGACATTGCTTTGCTAGCAGGGCAGCTCAGGCCCCACTGAAGACAGGGGGATGGAAGAGTGAAATACACGAGCCCAAAACAAATGTTAGCTTTGATTTCCCTCCCCATCATCTTCATAGCTAGGGACTTACTGAAATCAAGGAAGCAGGAGGATGATTTTGCAGGCTGGTAGTGGTGCCCACTGCCATTTTCATGGTTTTACATGGTAAAGCCCCCCCCCCGGCTAATGATTCGCCAAGGGCCCCCAGCGGCAGCCCAACCCCTCACTGCTGATTGGTGGAAAGGGCTACCCTTCACCAGAGGGCTGCTGTTCGTGCGGTTCCACCCCTCACAGCTGATTGGTGGAGAGAGGCAGGGCTGCACAATGGGTAGCCCTCTTGACTAGTCAGCGGTGGAAGGAGAAGGGGGTGGCCACCATCTGGGCTAGCTTCTGTGTGCCAGCTACTGTGAGAACTGCTGGCTCCCACTGGACAGCCAGCATTTTATTTTCAGTAAGTTGTTTTTTTTTCTGGCAATTCCACCAAAAATCACAGGAAACTCCGCTTTTCATGGAAAGTGAAATCGTGATTTGAGTAGGTCCCTACTGATAGCCAAATCTTATTAATTGCTATAATAGGGAAATCCAGTGCATCTCAGTCACTGGCTCCACCGAATGAGGCCCGTAGAAACCTGTAAGTCAGGCCACTTGTATTTAGGAACCTAAATAAGGATTTGGGAATGTAAAATGAGAGCTCAGGCTTGATAATTTTGTCCACCATCATGCTCCCATTTTCTCATCTGCCTGATAAAATAGTTGACATAACATTGTATTTATTTATTCAGTGTGACTAAACGTGATGTTTTCTACCCTGTAGGGACTTCCAATTGGTCAGAAGATTACTTTACTACTACAGCTGGAGTAGGGCTGATTATCAACCAGGTCTCAACTGATCCCTCCAAAAAGACTCTATCAATGCAAGAGCAATTAAAAAATCTTTTTGAACGAGACTGGAATTCCAGATACTCAGTGAATTTGGAAGATGGGCCTCAACAGAAAGACTGCCTATGGAAAGGTGGATCCCAGAGTTAATCAGAAAGTTCAATATATGTATGTTTCTACGTGAAACTGAAGATTTTTTATGCGTAAAATAATTGGTATTTTCAATGATTTGTCAAAGAAATAATTTCCTAGTGTTCTGAGAACTTCTCTTATTCCAGAGCACTTGTATAATCAAATCATTTGTGACAGTGTCTAAAATATTCATATGCTGCACTTGATTAGCTCACCAACTGTGTGAAATAAATATGTCCACATCTGGGCAACACACTATCCAGTATTAAGTGATCCTTTAAGCAATAACTTGATCCTAATACAATCAAGCTTCAGAAAGACATAGATATGGGCACTTAAACTCTGCGTTACCAGCCTTGAGGAGACTTTACATGTGAACATTAATGTTCCAGTGACATAGGGTTACTGAAGTCCTGACATTAGCTGTGAGTCAAAACAGTAGATGCCTGGGGTGCTAAAGGCCAGTTTTTAAAAATTACCTTGGCACTAAAAATACAGATAAGCTGCTGGTGGGATTGTCTAAAAAAGCTATGTGCTGAAATCTCAGTGGAATCAAAAAGAGTTAAGTGACCAAGTCCTAAATATTATGGCTGGCTCCTTAGATCAGCCTGGAGGTGTCTACATCTTTCAAGACTCCCCTCCCACCATTAGAGGGTGGCTGGAGCCAAGAGCTGATGCCCAAATGGATCTAGGGGAAAGCCACTTCCATCCCCAGCACCAGAGGCAGGTTTGAGGCATGGGGAGGCTGCCTTTTTATGGGTATCCTTTCAACAATGCCACCAAGTGAAGGAGTCTTAAGCAGCTCAAATACATAGTGCTTTCTGCGGAGTAATCTCATAGTCCTGGTTGTCCACGCTTACTAGATGGGCTGTTCTAGGGGGGCTGTAAGAAAGGTGTGACGGTCCCTTGGGGTGTGGGGTGGGACAAATACAATCCACATTATGGCTGCATGCATCGCTCTCTGTCATACCACCACTTTCCCTGATCAAAGTCCATCCACGTTTCCAATTAGTCATCAACTGATACGCTTGTTCATTTCCCATGGCATATTTTTTCAAAGGCTGCCTGTTGATTTGAATTAGCAGTGGGAGCCGAAATAGCACACATTGGATGCCTCTACACATGCACTTTTCTGCAGATATGTGTAGACGCTGCACCTGGAAGCAACCAACTCCAGTGCAAACTTTGCTACAGTTTATCATGTCACATTAATTGCATGTGTAGATACACCCACACATAAGCAATGAAGCAGTGTGCCCCAACCTTTTCCAGCCCAAGGCACACTTACATTAATACAAATTTTCTGCAGCACACCTGTTAAGGCATTCCCCATCCTCATGTGTATTGTAGCTCATTGCCATGGCAAAATACCATGGCACCGCCTGTTCATTTCTGATGGCACACTGGTTGGGAAACACTGCAATAAAGGCTCAGAGCAGCAGAGTGAGATGCTGGTATCATGAAAAGCCAGAATACCAAATGTGGCTCAGCAAACTTCTTTAAGGCTTAATCCTTTGTATGGGAAAGGCAACTCCCCTCATCCTTCATTGTAATGGAGGAGTGGGAGTGACAAGAGTTGTGGGTGCCCCACTTCTTATGTAGCTCTTAAAAAGAACAGCCTTTATTTCGACCACAACTGCTACTAAATAACGCAGATAAAAACACTCAGGACACACACATACGTGCTGATAAACATTTATCAAAGCACATATTTCTGCCTGCTGCTGGATGCAAATATATATGAATGTGAGCTCTTGGACGGTTGTTTTAATTCACATGTAGGGAGAGTGCTCTTGGCATTTCGAAACCTTGATCACTCGCTGGGATTTAAGCACTGTGTCTTGGGAATGTGTCAGCCAGGCAAGGAAAGATCCTACTCCAGCATGTTGCAGGATGGCAGTTTGTCTCCGTGTGAGGTATCTGCTATGACTTACAGGCGGCAGCTCTGTTGGACCTGCTGTATCCTAGCTCCAGTCTTCAGAAACTGCCTGAGCTACAAGGCACCAGCAGTTGCTCCTCTGTGTCACGGAGGGAGCACCATGATACCTGGCTTCAGGGAGCTCTCCCAGAGGCCCAGAGCAAGCCCCTCCACAGGCTGCCCTAGGTTCTCAACCTCCACCCACACGGTCATCTCTAGGCGCCCTCCCTGCAGCCCACCAGGCCCTCCACCAGCCTTTCTCCTACAATAATTGCCACTCTTGCCTCCCTTCAGTGCCCTCCTCCCCATTGACTCCTGACTCCATGTGATCATCAGGTGATCCCTAGGGCCCCTTCCAGCCCCTTGCAAAGGGGAGCAACTTGCCCAAGGTCACAAAGCAGGTTGGTCACAGAGCAGGGAATCGAGCTCAGGTGTCCCACATCCTTGTCTAATGATCTGCCTTCTGGGCTGTGCTGCCTTGTCTATAGCTGAGATGTTTTCCTTCACTCAGGACTGTGTGGACTCAGGATCTGTGGGTATCTCTTGCCTTTGAGGTATTTAGGGAATCGGTTCCTGCAGCCTCACGCTGGGCATGCTGCGGGATGTGGACAAGATCTTCCTCCCCATTTGGATCCGTCATATATACGTGGGCATTCTGGGGCTGTCACACGGATAATGGCCAAACCAGGATGGCCCTTCAGCACCTTCCTTTTAAACAAGCCGTACAATGTGGTGCAAGCTCCCTGTGTGATCTCGTATTGTATACATCTCATAGGGAATGTCAGAGACGCATGAAAAGCAGTGAACTCCAGGACTAGGAGGTCCATTTTTAAGTCCTTCAAGCCCTTGTTACATTTCAGAAGGGCTTTTCAAGTGCAAAATCCCGCTTGTGGTCTACCCCCAGGCTCCAAAGCCAATTTTGGTTTTGTAAGAGGTGCTAAAATATTCTGTTGCATGCCAGAAGATGGCA